TTGCACACTCCACATCTAATCCATCAGCAACCTCTGTTTGCCCCACATTCCAGATGTGCCCCAAATGCCCCTACCCCTCACCACCTGTGCCCCCACGGCTCCTATCCCGGTGCTCGCCTGAGCGACAGCCACAGCCTCTGCCGTCTTGACTCAGGGGCTGTCCTCGGCACGGCAGGCAGAATGCCCCTCGCCACCTGTGCCCCCACGGCTCCTATCCCGGTGCTCGCCTGAGCCACGGCCACAGCCTCTGCCGTCTTGACTCAGGGGCTGTCCTTGGCACGGCGGGCAGAGTGCCCCTCATCACCTCTGCCCCCACGGCTCCTATCCATGTGCTCGCCTGATCCACGGCCACAGCCTCTGCCGTCTTTACTCAGGGGCTGTCCTCGGCACGGAGGGCAGAGTGCCCCGCACCACCTGTGCCCCCACGGCTCCTATCCCGGTGCTCGCCTGAGCCACGGCCACAGCCTCTGCCGTCTTGACTCAGGGGCTGTCCTTGGCACGGCGGGCAGAGTGCCCCTCATCACCTCTGCCCCCACGGCTCCTATCCATGTGCTCGCCTGATCCACGGCCACAGCCTCTGCCGTCTTTACTCAGGGGCTGTCCTCGGCACGGCGGGCAGAGTGCCCCTCACCACCTGTGCCCCCACGGTTCCTATCCAGGTGCTCGCCTGATCCACGGCCACAGCCTCTGCCGTCTTGACTCAGGGGCTGTCCTTGGCACGGCGGGCAGAGTGCCCCTCATCACCTCTGCCCCCACGGCTCCTATCCATGTGCTCGCCTGAGCCACGGCCACAGCCTCTGCCATCTTGACTCGGGGGCTGTCCTCGGCACGGCGGGCAGAGTGCCCCTCGCCACCTGTGCCCCCACGGCTCCTATCCCGGTGCTCGCCTGAGCCACGGCCACAGCCTCTGCCGTCTTGACTCGGGGGCTGTCCTCGGCACGGCGGGCAGAGTGCCCCGCACCACCTGTGCCCCCACGGCTCCTATCCAGGTGCTCGCCTGAGCCACGGCCACAGCCTCTGCCGTCTTGACTCAGGGGCTGTCCTCGGCACGGCGGGCAGAGTGCCCCGCACCACCTGTGCCCCCACGGCTCCTATCCAGGTGCTCGCCTGAGCCACGGCCACAGCCTATGCCGTCTTGACTCGGGGGCTGTCCTCGGCACGGCGGGCAGAGTGCCCCGCACCACCTGTGCCCCCACGGCTCCTATCCAGGTGCTCGCCTGAGCCACGGCCACAGCCTCTGCCGTCTTGACTCAGGGGCTGTCCTCGGCACGGCGGGCAGAGTGCCCCGCACCACCTGTGCCCCCACGGCTCCTATCCAGGTGCTCGCCTGAGCCACGGCCACAGCCTCTGCCGTCTTGACTCGGGGACTGTCCTCGGCACGGCGGGCAGAGCGACGGTTCTGCCTCACATATGGCTTCTGCTGGAGCCCTGTCCTGGCCTCCCGTCCCGCACAGAGTGCCACAGGCGCGAACCTGTCCCGCCATCGCCGCACCTCCTCGCACTCTGCCCCTCACTCACTCTGCGGCGGCCACACGGTCTCTGGCTCACCTGGGAACACATCGTCTGGCTAACGTCTCCTTGGGACATTCCTCATTCAAATGTCTTTAGGGCTCACAGTTCAGTTCACTTCCGTGCCTCAGTCTTGTCCAACTCTTTGCGACCCCATGAATCGCTGCACGCCAGGCTTCCCTGTCCATCACCAGCTCCCAGAGTTTACTCAAACTCCTGTCCATCGAGTCAGTGATTCCATCCAGCCATCTCATCCTCTGTCGTCCCCTTCTCCTCCTGCCCCCAATCCCTCCCAGCATCAGGGTCTTTTCCAATGAGTCACCTCTTTGCATCAGGTGGCCAAAGTATTGGAGCTTTAGCTTCAGCATCAGTCCTTCTAATGAACACCCAGGACTGATCTCCTTTAGGGTGGACTGGTTGGATCTCCTTACAGTCCAAGGGACTCTCAAGAGTCTTCTCCAACACCACAGTGCAAAAGCATCAATTCTTTGGTACTCAGCTTTCTTTATAGTCCAACTCTTACATCCATACATGACCACTGGAAAAACCATAGCCTTGACTAGATGGACATTTGTTGTCAAAGTAATGTCTCTGCTTTTTAATATGCTATCGAGGTTGGTCATAACTTTCCTTCCAAGGAGTAAGTGTCTTCTAATTTCATGGCTGCAATCACCATCTGCAGTGATTTTGGAGCCCAAAAAATAAAGTCTAACACTGCTTCCACTTTTTCCCTATCTATTTCCCATGAAGTGATGGGAGCAGATGCCATGATCTTAGTTTTCCGAATGTTGAGCTTTAAGCCAACTTTTTCACTCTCCTCTTTCACTTTCATCAAGAGGCTTTTTAGTTCTTTTTCACTTTCTGCCATAAGGGTGGTGTCATCTGCATATCCAAGGTTGTTGATATTTCTCCCAGCAATCTTGATTCCAGCTTGTGCTTCATCCAGCCCAGCATTTCTCATGATGTACTCTGCATATAAGTTAAATAATCAGGGTGACAATATACAGCCTTGATATACTCCTTTTCCTATTTGGAACCACTCTGTTGTTCCATGTCCAGTTCTAACTGTTGCTTCCTGACCTGCATATAGGTTTCTCAAGAGGCAGGTCAGGTGGTCTGGTATTCCCATCTCTTTCCGAATTTTCCAGTTTATTGTGATCCACACAGTCAAAGGCTTTGGCATAGTCAAGAAAGCAGAAATAGATGTTATTCTGGAACTCTCTTGCTTTTTTGATGATCCATTGGATGTTGGCAACTTAATCTCTGGTTCTTCTGCCTTTTCTAAAACCAGCTTGAACACCTGGAAGTTCACGGTTCACATATTGCTGAAGCCTGGCTTGGAGAATTTTGAGCATTACTTTACTAGCATGTGAGATGAGTGCAATTGTGCGGTAGTTTGAGCATTCTTTAGGATTGACTTTCTTAGGGATTGGAATGAAAACTGACCTTTTCCAGTCCTGTGGCCACTGCTGAGTTTTCCAAATTTGCTGGCATATTGATTGCAGCACTTTCACAGCATCATCTTTCAGGATTTGAAATAGCTCAACTGGAATTCCATCACCTCCACTAGCTTTGTTCCTAGTGATGCTTTCTAAGGCCCACTTGACTTCACATTCCAGGATGCCTGGCTCTAGGTGAGTGATCACAGCATCATGATTATCTGGGTCGTGAAGATCTTTTTTGTACAGTTCTTCTGTGTATTCTTGCCACCTCTTCTTATTATCTTCTGCTTCTGTTAGGTCCATACCATTTCTGTCCTTTATCGAGCCCATCTTTGCATGAAATGTTCTGTTGGTATCTCTAATTTTCTTGAAGAGCTCTCTAGTGTTTCCTATTCTGTTGTTTTCCTCTATTTCTTTGCACTGATCACTGAGGAAGGCTTTCTTGTCTCTCCTAGCTATTCTTTGGAACTCTGCATTCAAATGGGAATATCTTTCCTTTTCTCCTTTGCATTTCACTTCTCTTCTTTTCACAGCTATTTGTAAGCCCTCCTAAGACAACCATTTTGCTTTTTTGCATTTCTTTTCCATGGGGATCATCTTGATCCCTGTCTCCTGTACAATGTCGCGAACTTCTGTCCATAGTTCATCTGGCACTCTATCATATTTAGTCCCTTAAATCTATTTCTCACTTCCACTGTATAATCATAAGGGATTTGCTTTAGGTCATACCTGAATGGTCTAGTGGTTTTCCCTACTTTCTTCAGTTTAAGTCTGAATTGGCAAGAAGGAGTTCATGATCTGAGCCACAGTCAGCTCCCGGTCTTGTTTTTGCTGACTGTATAGAGCTTCTCCATCTATTTCAGCCTGTATTAGTCCTTTCTGGCACTATAATGCATGCCACGATTGTTGTTGTTCAGTTGCTCCCACAGATTTGGGCTAAAGCAACAGACATGCATTTCTGACAGTTCTGGGCACTGAGAATTAAGTTCAAGATCAAAGTGTCAGCAGGCTTGAGGTCTGATGGGGGCCACCTCCTGGTTTATAGCCAGGCGTTTTCTCTCTGTGTCCTCATGTGGCAGAAAGCCTGAGGGAGCCCTCTGGGGTCTCTTTTACAAGGGCACTAATTCCATTCATGAGGACTCCACCTTCATGACCTAGTCACCTTCTGATGGCCTCCTAATTCCACCACACTGGAGGTTGGTTATCAACATATGAAACTGGGCAGGGGTAGGGGTGCAGAGGGGACAAAAGCATTTAGTCTAGCACAACCCAAAAGTTGCCTCCTCTGGGTGACCTCCCTGATCACCTCCTCAATTATTCTTTTTCCCTTTCTCCCTTTTTTATGTCTTCAGGATTTATCAGCACCCGGGCCTTGAATCACGAGTCCCTATTTTTAACTCCCTCTTGTCTGTCCCTACCCCAGAATGGAAAACCCCAAGGGCGGGTCTCACTTAGGGCAGTTAACTGTTAGACCTTCAGACTCTAATGAAGGGAATGTGATGGGCCCTCAGTGAACCTTCTCTGAAGGGAGGATTCTGGAGGAAACTTTGGAATCAGGCCCAATTCCTACCCCCATGTTGCCGTGTGTGACCTCAGGCAGGTTGTAGTTTGCTCTATAAAGTGATGGGCATTATTGCATCCAGTTCAGTGGTTCTCCTGATAAATTGCACTGATATAGGAACTTATAAAGTGAGCCCCTAAGTGGTGGTGATTATATCATGATGCACATCTAGAAAGGAGGGCTTTCGAGTGGGAAGAGAGACAATAGTCACTGGGGGAAGTGGAAGCTAGGGGTAGAGGGAACCTGAAGGAACTTTTTAGCCAACCAAATACTTTGCCTTTGCTGCTGGTGGTGGTGATGTGGGAGTGGGAGGGGGCATTCTGAGAACCACTGGGGCAGGGGGAGAGCCAGGGCCTGGCTGGGCTGGGGCCTTGGCCCTGCTGCTCTCTAGCTGTGAGGCCTTGGGTAAGATCCAGGAGCTCCCTGGGCTCACTCTCCACATTTCTAAAGTAAGGATGCTCACACCTGTCTCAGGCCAGTGTTTCTAGGGGGACAGAGAAGCCAGCAGTGATGGAGACTCCCCTTTGGTTCCCAGGCGAGTGCTCCCTCTATATCTGGGTCTTAGGTCCCTGCAGTTCCCACACCCCCTACGTGGTCCATGGATGCCGCTGATCCTCCTCATGGGGCCACACTGTCTTCAGGAAAGGGGAGGGAAGGAGAAGTGTGGATAAGGAAGTTCTTTCACCTACTGCTGACTTGCCTGTGATAAGAAAGTCTATCACCAAATCTAACTGCAGGCCAGGCATGCGCAAAACAGCAGCAACCTCACGGTGTGAGTGGGAGAGCGAACAGGCCACACAGCGCCACGAGGTGGGGGCGGGGGCGGGTGGGCCTGGTTCTGCTTTCGGCACATCTGCGGGAGAAGACGTTCTCTTCAGATAAATCTTCAGAGCAGCCAGATGTCTCTTCCCAACTCCCAGCAAGGAGAGGCTTTATAACCCTGGCCTCTGCTCTTTTCTAGGCTGGAGAGGTCATGTCCTTAGTCCCCACGTTGGTCCCCCAGCGTGAAATCAGGGCTGGGAGGAGCATCGCTGGCCCATTCCCTGGGCCTGCACAGTTCAGCTGCTCCTTACAGAGCTGTCTTCCCCATCATAACTGGATCTGCTCACTGTCCACGTGCTTGGCCCTGGCTGGGGCATAACTGTCACCATCAGTGAATGCCGGGGACTGTGCCTTAAAGAAGCACTTGCATCAGCTCAGGGAGACCACTGATAGAGCTGCAGGTCCCAGGTGCACACATGAACATATATGTGGATGAGGATGTGGTGAAATCTATATATTAGGAGAAAAAGATACCCCCATAACCTACCCCTAACCCATAACCACCCAAAAGCCACCATCTCAAGAAAGTGTATTTCGTTTCTTTTCTTTTATTGACTCTTTTTTAGAATGTTTAACATAGTTTATACTTAGAGTCCTATTCCTTTCCATTAGATCATACTATGAGCGTTTCCCCCTGTCACTAAGAATTCCCAGGTGTCCCTCAGTAAGTGCAGCAGAACTGCCCGTCCTGTGGGTATATCATAATTTACAGAACCAATTTCTTGACGCAAAACATTTAGATAGTCCTCTCTTATTTTCCATCTTAAACCCAATGGCAATACACTTTGCCAAGCATGAATTTTTGTTGCTGTTTCCAGGTGATTTCTCCAGGATCAATGACCAGAAATGGAGTTTGATCCTTGGGGTGATGTATTTGCCAAAGAATGTGTGAGAGAAGGAAGGGTTCCCATTTTGAGAATCCCGCATTTTTTGAGTGATCTAGACAGCATATATTTTAGACAATAGCATGTAAATACATGAAATATCATGAAAATTTTTGTAGCGCTTTATGTTTTATAAAGTACGTTCTTAATTTTATCTTCACAACAAGTTTAAAATAGTGCATTCTTCTATATACTGGTATCTAGAACAAAAGCAGTCCAGCCTCTGGTTTTCTGAGTTGGCACCCTACTTCTCCCATTGCGTGAGGTTGTTCTGTTCTTGAAAAGAAGCAGACACAGTTTCAAGTGGTTAAGAACTCAAGCTTCAGCAGGAGATCAAGCACTGCCATGTAAATTTGGTCTTGTTAGTCTCTCTTAGCCATAGTTAAGAGGCTGATGGAACAGGGTGGGGATGGTGTGTTTGGAGTTACAGCGGAAGTTGTGAAGGGAAGACCATCTGGTTAAGAGCTGTTGTCATGGAGGCGGCAGAGAAAACATAACCACCCCTCTCTGTCCTCCAAACCCCAGTTTCCTGCTGCCATCTCCCAGCTTAAATGGAAACCAGCTGCCTGGTCGCTCAGGAGATGCAGAGTAGGGTCAGCCTCCCCAGGGTAAAGAGGAAGACAAGGAAGGGATCAACAGCCAGTGAAGAGATTCACAGGGCAGGTTCCCAAACAAAGAACTTCAGTCCTCTGGGGGTTTGGAGCCCAGCATGGCGGCACGTGGAGGCATTCTACTTCACCTCCTCCCAGGAAGAGCAAACCTCTGAGCTCTTTTGGTGGTCTTGGTGTTGTCTTATCTGAGATTCTGGGGGTGCTTGCTAGACCAGACACTTCTCTGGCCCTGCCCCGCCCCAGCTCCTCCCCAGGACCACACACAGCGGCCAGACTGCGATCTTTTCCTCCCCTTCTTCCGGTCTCCTTTGAATTCCAGTTTCTTAGAAATCCTCAGATCTTCAGGAGGAAGAAGGGCAGGGTGTGGAGAGGAGACAGGGCTTCCCTTTTCCACTCTGTGCCTTGAGGCTATTCGCTGCCCCCTTAAAAAACCCCAAACCCCAAACAACCCAAAGCTGACAAGGCCCCTCTCTCAGAGGAGCATCCACCTATGGACAGTGGTGACTTCTGTATTGGAATAAGACTCTATTAAAAAAAAAAAACAAAAAACCTCAGGAATAATAGCAGGGAAATATAGCTGGAGGAAAGCAGATACTCTGGGTTGTGAGTTACAGCATCCTCAACTTTCAGTTCCCCTTCATTGAGCACATCCCTAAAACAGCAATGCCTGGACATGCAAACTCTCTGGGTAAGGATCCAAAGACAGGAAGACCCGCTTTCCAGCCCCCTTATCTGCCCCCAGTCTGCATATAAACTGGACGAGCCCAGTGTGTCAATGCCAGGAATGGCTCTGTTCTCCAGAGCAAGGAGCCCTCCTCTCTCCACCCCATCCCAAGCCCCAGTGCTTCACCCACGTGAGGTGATATGGCTGGGGTGTTGCAGCCTGCAAGGCTTTGGTACCCACCAGACACTTGTCCCTGTTTTTACACAGTATTAGCAGGCACCAGGGCAACAGGGAAAGTGGGATCACAGCCAGGAGGAGAAAAATACGGCTGAATCTTTGGATGGGGTTTCAGATCTGTGTGATGACATTGCAGAGTGCTTTGGCCTCCGTGGGATTGGGGAGATTATTTATAAGGCGACACATAAGGGACTTCAGCCATGAAATTAGAAGACGCTTACTCCTTGGAAGGAAAGCTGTGACCAATCTTGATGGCATATTAAAAAGCAGAGACGTTACTTTACCAGCAAAGGTCCGTCTAGTCAAAGCTATGGTTTTTCCAGTAGTCATGTATGGATGTGAGAGTTGGACTGTGAAGAAAGCTGAGCACTGAAGAACTGATGCTTCTGATCTGTGGTGTTGGAGAAGACTCTTGAGAGTCCCTTGGACTGCAAGAAGATTCAACCAGTCCATCCTTAAGGAAATCAGTCCTGAATATTCATTGGAAAGACTGATGCTGAAGCTGAAACTCCAATACTTTGGCCACCTCATGGAAAGAACCGACTGATTAGGAAAGACCCTGATGCTGGGAAAGATTGAGGGCAGGAGGAGAAGGGGATGACAGAGGATGAGATGGTTGGATGGCATTACTGGATGTGATGGACATGAGTTTGAGTAGGTTCCAGGAGTTGGTGATGGACAGGGAAGTCTGGCATGCTGCAGTCCATGGGATCACAAAGAGTTGGACACGACTGAGTGACTGAACTGAACTGAACACACGGGACCATGAGGGCAATCATTTTGACCTTGAGACTAGCAGACACATTTTCACCAAGGCACATCAGATTCACATGGGCCTCACCTGGCTAGGTACTTTGTCATGAGAATTTGATCTGGGAGCCTGGGTAAGTGGACACAGCCTTTCTGCACAGATAGGAAGGGTGACCTGCTGGCAGTTGCAGGCAGGTAACTCCCCTTCTCCAGCCTACAACTAGCAGCTCCCAGGAGCCCAGACCCTGACCCACGATGACCAGGTATCCCAACAGGCGGACCCACCTGGAGGTCCTCCGGTCACCTCCCATCACCTTTCCACTCACAGCCTTCTCTCGCCACCTGCTGGCAGTGCCCACTCAGCATCTCAGAAGGCCAGTCTTGGGACCGTCTCCTCTAGGAAGCCTCTGAGAACCCGGAGAATTGCCCTTTCTGAAGTTTCCCATAGGCATCGTCGTCTCTGCTGTAGGGTCTGCTCCGTGAAGGCAGGGACCTTGCCTTAACTATCTGCCGTGGATGTAGTAGGTGCTAAAGAGAGTTTGCCAAAGGAAAGAACGAATGAACAAAGTCCTGAGTCTCCTCGCTGTCCTAGAACCGGGGCATCCTGGGGCCGAGTCTGATGGCTGAGTTCCCGCTAGAGCAGCCCCAGGCACGTCTTCTGTTTGTTATTAACTTTCGTTGCAGCGCAGCTGGTTTCCAGTGCGGCGCTAGTTTCAGGCACACAGCAGAGTGAATCAGTTATGCGTGTACAAATATTCACTCTTGTTCAGAATCTTTTCCCTTACAGTCCTTACAGAATACTGAGCCAAGTTCCCTGTGTTATGCAGTATATTCTCGTTAGTTATCAGTGTTATATACACTAATGTGTGTGTGTCAATCCTAATCGGCCCATGTTTCCTTCTCTCCATTTCCCCTCCCCCATCCGCCCCTCGGCAGCCATAAGTTTTTTCTCTGCATCTGTGACTGTTTCCCAAGCACGTCTTTATTGCTTATATTGACACTCGAAGACACAGAGTCTAACTTGTCACATAAATGTGTCCGATCTCAACCATGGCATAAGTGTCTTGGGGACAGACCTCATCCTTTCCACATACCATGAAGCCTGGGGCTGGGCAAATGCGGGTTTGCAAAAAACAGAAAGTGGATAACAAGCTATCCGTTTCTTTCCTTGGAGTGCTTTAGCTTGAGTGCTATACCCTTTCCAGGCAAGATTAACAACAGACCAAAGAAAAGTAAATGTCTTTGACCTTTTTCTTACCCCAAAGGAAAGTCAGTTAGTAAACATCAGTTGTCAGCTGATTTCGACTTCACTTGCATCAGGCCTTTGAGGCCAGAATGTAGAAAAGGAAGGAGAAACTCCAGTGCAAGCAAAGAATTATCTATAGCCACAAAGCTTCCTGTCCTTCCCCTGGACCCAAGTCAGACTCACGCAAAGCCATGGCCCCTCCCCGCGAGTGCACTGGGTAAGGTGATTTTCTGGCCCAGTACCATCAAGCGACAGACGTGGCTGCCACTGCACTGCTGACATCCACTCCGCTGTCATGCTTCACATGACAGTCTTCACCCA